TTTTGACGTACGGGCATTGGTTTAAGAGAAAAAAATACTTTATTGAAATATCTTATACTCACCATAAATAGGATTAGGAAGTGAGATGGATAACATGGCATGAGTTCAGAAAAAGGTCATTGAAGACATCTTTCAACAATTAGTATTTTTAAATTTACAAAAAAATTTAGATTTTATATATGAATTTTTGAAATCTTTTATTAGAAATTGCTGAAATGATGTCTCCATCGATTTCGATAAGAAATATTCTGGAAGTAGCTCATACCAACTCTGATTTATTCTGAAAGTGTTGTGACACGTGGACTTTTAGTTTTTAAGCTATTGGGATTGCGCATTCTCTGACCAACCAACTTCTGACTACAGAACCTCTTCGACTTAGCTGGAATGGATGGAAATGAACTACCCATGCCTAAATTGACATTCTTATATAGAACATAAGTATTCTCTGTCATTATATATGTGCATTTAAAAGATCTAATTGTTCCGCTAACTTTCGGTTTTTTTGCTTATCCAAAACCACTCCAATATGCTCATCATAAAAAAAACTTTACACAGTTACTTTAATTATGTTTGTGTTACAAGGTACTATGTATTAACAAAGCAACAATAGAATGCTATTGTCTGTTGGACTAGTTGAGCTTTTACATATTAGCAGAGAGTAGAGGTAAAACATATTTATGAATAAAGTAATCGTCTAATTTTTGGGGAAAAGCAAAACAACCAAAAGTCAGCGTAGCAACTAGAACTTATAAATATACATATATTGTGACAGAGAGCTATTATTGTACATGAAAGAATGTCAACTGAAACATAGGTAATTCATAGTCATCCATTCCAGCCATGTCGAAGAGATTCAGTTGGCACAAGTTGGATGGTCAGAGAATGCGCAATCCCCACAGCTTAAAAAGTAAAAGTCCATGAGTCACAAAACTTTCAGCATAAATCAAAGTTAGTATGAGCCACTTTTACAATTTTTCTCAACAAAATACATGTTGACATCATTTGAGCTATTTCCAAATTAAACATTTTAAAAATAAATGTAGTTTTTTATTTTTTTATTGATTTTTTTTTAAAACAATATTTGAATCTTTTTATCTCATAGATGCTTGTGCCAACTCACAAGTTCCAGCCTACTCCCCATCCCTACTTACATTTCTCCTTATTTTTCAAAAGTGAGAAAACAGACTTTTTGCCCCAGGAATGGGGCCAACTAGGACGCTAGGCAGGCATACACCAAATGTAAAATGCCACATGCAAAAAAAGGTTCATTGAATACGGGAATTTTTTTTTTTTTTTGCCGTGAACTGTCTGGCAAGAAGACTTCACCGCCATTTCAAACCCCAGAACCAGAACCCCCACCAGTATCACGTACCACCACCCCACCACCAATGTCACATGACTGCATGGCGGGATTGCCTACCTACTGCTTTGCAGGCGCTACATGCACAAAACCTAACACAACGTGCCCTGGCAAGCACAAAACAAACTCCGTAAAGAACGAGCAGATTAATTATGAAGCAAATTCATTTGGTACACCTTGCAACTTGTTACTCATTGTAGCAATCAGCTTTTATGTTACAGTCGAAGCAGCACCATCACCATCTGAGCCATCTGCTGCTTCATCATCATCAAAGCCAACTGATTCTGTTTCTTTTGTTTGTGAAAAGTGTAACAAAGCTGTTAAAAGCAGTGCATCTTTGATAAGACATATGGCTAGCCACAAAGTTGAAGGTAATTATCAAAAATTACTAAATAGATTTCACCATGTTGATATTTTGATTGCATTTTTCACATTTTTTTTGTCTTTTTTGTAGAACTTAATCAGAAGAATCCAGAACCAGCAGAGTTTTAAATTGTACAAGAGGGTGTCACCAGAAAAATTATTGAAGAAATTGTAACGGGTCGTTACTCTTTCTGCCTTTATCTCGTTTTCCTATTTGTTTTTGTCTTTATTTTTATTTCGTCTATCGTCTACTTTTTTTTGTCTCGTCCCGTCTTCTCACACCCCACTCCCACTGCACGGCATTCGCTCATACTGTCATTCCCATAGTTTTCCATAGTTGTTTTCCCCACCTTCATCTTCCATCCGGTTTCACTTTGCCGCCGCCAGAGCGCGCCACTCCTCACGCGCTCCGCGCCGCGCTGCAGCTGCTGCACCCTCGAGCCTGCCTCACTCTTCCGGAGGACGCCAAGCAGACATCACCTCATCATCCCGCGAGTAAACCCGTTAAATTCATCATCTTCATTCTTTCCGCGAGCTAAATCCGTCTTTCACTTCTTCATCAAAGTGTCAGCCATGCTCGTTTTAACGATTCGTACCATCTGCATATGCGTTTGTCCTCGCTTCGGTTTTTCGGCCGCTATGCTCGCCAGCCAGGTTGTGTTGTCCAGTGTCTGACCATGTGCTTTGTGTTCTCGCCTTATTGCAGGGTTTTTACCTTAGCTTTTCTCAAGCTAATCTTGCCATGATGTCTGGCTAAATGCTAAGTGTCCCCGGGATGGATCCGGCGCCGGCTGTGACTCTTCCAGCCAACTACTACTACTATCTTCTGCCCGTGATGGCCTAGGCCTCACGTAGCCGCGCCGCTGTAAAGCCCTCCACTCCGGACTCAGACTCTCTAAGTATGGTTGTTGACTGGTGACTTACTTCTGATTTCCGCGAGCTAAACCGTTTATTTTATCTTGAATTCCATCTGTCCAGTCACATGACTGTGTACTGTGTGTCACAATGGCACTTCTCATAGGAGATAGATAGTATCTTCGCAAGATTGTATGAGTCACATCCTAGTTCATTTGATCCACTCAGTAAACACTGTTGTGTCAGAGGAGGTAAAGTGCAGGATGTAAAAATGGTTCTCAAATCCATTTCTCCATCTGTTTATCCTTGCTCTGCCGTGCTTCTATTAGGCATCAATGATTTTTTGCACGTACATGAGTTTAAAGACGTGTGGTCGTCCTTTGCCTCTCTGGTGAGATATTTGACTCGTCATTTCAATAAAATCTTTGTATGTGAGCTTCTGCCCGTGGCTAATTCTCAGAAAGCCAAACTGTCTCCTGAGTTAGCTCGTTTTAATTTCCATATCAGAAATCTAAGATTTAAACCGAAAGTCACTATCATTAGCTTTGAATCTATTTTTAGATCTACTAATGCTTTCTGTTTGGACATGTACTGTCCTCGGATCAATTCAAGGCCAGATTATATCCACCCTTCCTCCAAGGGATTGGCCCTCATGCGTTCGCAATTGCTCTCTGCACTGTGCGTCTGAGGCTATCCATCGGTCTGGTCCATGGTATAGCCAGCCAGTGCAGAGTGCTTTATCCGCGTTTCTATTCTGTCTTAGCTACTTGCCTATTATTATTATTAGATCCGAGTACAGTGCATGTCCAATTCAGATTTTGTTCATAATCATACTTATGTATCCCTATTTGTGACCCTAATTGAATACTCTTTTGAGTTTAACTTTAGTATTTCTACTTGACGATGATCAGTTCTATTGACTTTAACGTCTTATTAGTCTCATCGTCAGTGGTAGGATGGTATTTCCTCCACATTGTATGGGCAAGGCCCTAGTCCGATAATACCCTTTCTTTTGAGTCAGTTCTATTATTAGTTTATCAATACTAATTAATCCTGAATACTGACTCATTTAGTCTCATGTTTACCTCTTGTTTCTGAGGTTTTGATCTCTATTTGTTTTGTGTTTTTCTGCGTGTTCAAGTCTCTATGACTTTATCTGTTGTATGTATATAGTTTATGTAAGACTTTCTAATGTCTCTTTAATGTTTTGTGTTTAAATGTTTATCTGTTGTGTTCAGTTCTAATGGGGGCGATTATTAATATCTTAGTCTTTGGCTTTAGCTTAGCTTTTTGAGTCAGGTTGATCGCCACAGTGTTGAGCGTTGGTCGGGGCTCTCACAATATGTACCCTTGTACTTCAATTGCTTTTCAAGCTACTCAAAGAGAAATTCTATAGTGACTGTTATTGTCTTTATATGTATATAAACTTATTTTCCCTTGAATGTTTAATGTTGAATAAATGTTGTGGTATCCATACAAATATTTCATCACTTATACTTTAGCTTTGGGGGTAGCTTTGCTACTTAGCGCCCCATTCTATTAAATTCTCCTGCTAGCCCACCCCACTCTCCGCACCTCTGCATAGCTAGCACATAAAACCCAATCTAAGCTTATAAAATGCTAAAGGAACCGGATTGCGGAGAAAGAAGCAAACTGAAAAAGTAATTACCTCGGTGTTCCTCAACGTTTGGTCCTCGGACCTCTGCTGTTTTCTCTGTGTGCGAATGACATTAGCTGTGTATTTACAAATTCCTGTTTCCCCCTATATGCTGATGACCTACAGGACTATGTCATGTTCTCACCTGCTAACTTCGAAGAGGCGGTTGCAACTATTAATTCGGAGGCAAGGCGTTTGGCAACTTATGCAAAGGGGCACAAACTAGCAATCAATGGCTTTAAAACCCGGACCATTATCATCGGGAACAGAAAATTAATTTAAAAAACTACCTGCTGATAAACCCCGGGGAATTGTTGAGAATATGTCACTACCCTATCTTGATTGTGTAAAAAAATAGGCATTACATTGGTTGTAACCTCACCTGAGACAAGTTTGCCACGGAAACGTGTCACAAGACTATCGCTGCCCTGCACGGCATAAGGCGGCATAACACTGGTAAAACAAGTGTTTAATTTTGCACGTCAATTGACGTTTAAGTTCAATTGTGCATTTTCTCGTCACTT